ATGGATGTATGTATGTCTGTATGTCTGTATGTCTGTATGTATGTATGTATGTATGTATGTATGTGTGTGTGTATATGTATGTATGTATGTATATATATATATATACACATTATACTACGGTTATCTTGAGGACAATAAGGGATAAGTTGTTCTCGAACTTCATTAAGGGCATTTCGGGCTTTGGGGCTTTGAAGATCAGGGACTACGGTTGATGATATAAATCCTGCATTACCCATATTTAAGGAATATACACCATAATTCCCATAGTTTAGGGTCCTACAAGGTAATGCAGGATTCATATCATCAACAGTAGTACCGTGACACTCGTTCTTACCACAGGGAGCCCATCGTTCGATCAGGCTCGGAATGCAAGAAAGCGGGGTGTGAACGTAGCCACTGCAGGCACGAAGTAGATACCACGCCCAAAGTAGATTCTAAGTAGATGTACATAGGGTTTAGGGTTTAGGGTTTACTGTATCTTCTTTGTTCTGTCTGCTCTTTTCTTGTTTGCATTTTCGGTTGGTACACCCTGAAGCCCAAAACCCTAAGCCCACCTCCCTGTGGGCCTGCAGCTGCTCATAAACGTCTAGTCGGGGTAGCTGCTGGGCGCTGGAGGACAGAAGACGCAAACCATACCTGTCGAGCTGTGTAGGTTGAATATATAGTTTAGGAAGCTCAGTTGAGCGCCTTTGCAACAATTTTATACACAACTGTATACTACACGACGCTACAGCAGCTTATACCGGATCTCTGCTACCCAGTAGCTTTGAAGCGAGTCTCAAAATTCGGGTTTCGAGAAGGTTGGCGCTTGGGGCACAATGTAAATAGAGCTGAACCACGTGAACATGTTCAGAGTTCCCCAACTACGGTACGCCGCGCCACCACTAACGAATCCCTTGTCTCCAATAGATTGTACGCCGGAAATGTGTTACGAGTCCTTGGGCCCCTGTCGTATGTCAGGTTGTTACTTCTTGTAAACGGTCATGGCCACGCCACTCGCGAATGGTTTTTAGACCCCAGAACGCCGAAGTCTTGATAGAAGCCGTGCGCTTCTTGCAACTCAGTTCTTGGTAATTTTGGGTCTTGGGCTCGCAGGTGACTGACGATTGGGAGTCTACTGTGGAGAGCCTGCGACCAGTCCACCATACAGCAACAGATAATACTACCACAAGGGACTAGTGTAGGTATTGCAGGGCCATAAAACATTCTTCTTCATGGACTGGTACTGTCTACTGTGGAATTATGGCTGCAAATGATTGCGTGCCAACAGCTCTTAAACACTCAGTTCTCTTTGACACTGCATTGACCCCGAAGGAAAACTCCAATTTTAAAACAACTTTGATCCTGAACCTTTTAGGCAACTCACACAGGGGTCCAATGAACTCCCTCAAAACCCCTAAACAGCCCAAATCGGGGGGAGAGAAAACACACGGTCAAAAGACACGCGTACATCTCCGCACCCTCAACACCTAGGACCCTCAAACTAAAGCTGCAACCCACAATCCGTAAACCCCGAATTAACGGAAACTACAGGTGGGGAGTTTACAGTGTATATAGGGCTTCCATAGGGCTTCTGTGAGGTATATAGACCTTCTATAAGGCTCCTGTCACGGTTTCCTGCCCACCTGAAAATGTCCCAGACCGAAACCCCAAAGACTATCCCATTGGCGCCTTGCTGGGTTAGACTGGAGAGCCCCTGGTGGATCCTGAGAATCTTCGACTCCACGCATCAGGCTCAGAGACTAGGATATAAGGTCTACAAGGGTCAGCGGTGTAGCGCTGAAGGGGGGAAGGAGTGCAGTGCTATGTTTTTTGAAGTGTGTCTTGTCCTTATGATGGTCGTAAGCGGGATGGACACTTTGCTTTTGGAAGGCTGGTGTTGCCATGACTTTTCCTATGAAGCTTCCTGGGGCTTTGGCTAGCGGCTAGATACCAGTAAGACTTCGGCAGCATAGGGCTTTAGGGATTGCATGAGGGGTTGAAATAGGGACGGCGAGCTTGATAAGCCCATATCTTGACAACTGTCCGTGGAAGGACAGACGTAGAGGGTTTAGGGTTTCCTTAAGGATTTAGGGTTTAGGGTTGAGGAATTCAGCCCTCGCATGTGCCCAAGTGGTGCCAGCGCTGCTCTGCAGGGCCTTGCTCACAGCATACCATACATACGAGTCCGAAGGGTCCTTCTACTATTCACCTTCAAACAGCACTGGCAATCGTCCTGGTAAGGCTATCTTGCGATCGCTTATGCTACACCACAAAAAGCTGCATAGTCAGCATCACCCCCGAGCCAGACCTGCGTACTTCACCCTAAACTTTAAACGTCCGGCTAAACCCCCGGGTGACAATCCAGAAGCCCCCCAACCAAGCCAATGACCTATAAACCCCCCAAAAATCCCTTTGTGCCCTGAGCCCTAAACCGCAAAAAGCAAGGCAAAGGCGCTGCGACCAGAATCCTGGCGGCTCCTCGAAGTGCCGGAAACCTATGACATGGCAGCAACTCCCTGTCAGGGTTTAGGGTTTAGGGCTTGGGGTTTAGGGTTAGGGTTTAGGGATTGAGGGTTTAGGGTCTATAGTTTAGGGTTTAGGAAGGAACTCCCTGTGAGGGTACTGTATAAGGGTTCCTCTAAGGATAGTATAAGGACTCCTTGAGGGGTAGTACAGGGGTTCCTTTAAGGGGCCCTCCCTTGAAGCAGGGACCCCATGATAGAACCCTATAGCACCCTTGTAAGGGGGACCCCATTATGGAACCCTATAGTGCCCTTTTTAAGGGGCTACGGGCTTAGAGTTCTTGTTCAGCTCCTCGGGTTTTGAGGGTTTTGTCTTAAGCTCCTCGAGTTTGGGTTTAGGGCTTATAGGTTTTAGGGTTGAACGCTCAGTTTAGGGTTTTAAGGTGTATAGCGTCTTGGGGTTGAAGGGCTTCCTAAGGTCCCTTAGGGGGATACTTAAGGACTTAAGGGGTAAGCATAGGGCTTCTATAAGGGTGCTGTAGGGCCGTAGGGTTAAGGGGCTGAGAAGGCTTGCTTGGGGTCTGAGGATTTACAATAAACTAATCCGAGTGTTCTTGTGAATACTCTTCGCCTTCATCCTTGGTGAAATCGAAGGCCCAGAAGGTCCCCATATATATATATATATACACCTACATATATATATATATGTGTATACACTACCCTGCTGGAATAAGGTCCCAGAAGACCATCCTTCTTATGTTTTTTTGGACCTAATTCCATCATAGTAGTGTATATGGACCCTCTTGGATATATATTCGAACCCATGGTCTGGCCTTATGGGGATTTAAGTAAATGCTCCGGGGTCTTTTTCTTGAAGTCTCTTATAGAGTCCGAGGAAACCGTGGGTGCTTGCAAACATGGGGGGGACCTGTACTCTAGTTAGGAGAAGTCCTGAACACTCAAAGTCCATGACGTCACTGGCAGGGGTGACATCCTCGTTTCCGGGAAAGGCGAAAGGAAACGACTGTAAAACGGAATGCAACCAGGTCAACTAACTTCAGTCTTATCCGCAGCGTTGCTTGCGACTGGCCCCTTTGACTCCGTGACGTATTCCTGCTGCCAACGGAAATTCAAAAAAAAACAGACCCAAGTGCTCTCCACCAGTATCAGTGCTAACGGTTCGGGTAGCCAACATATGTTGAGCTTTGCACCCTGACTGCAAGTTGAACTCAGAAGGAGATCAGGTTCCAACACCAAGGAACCCGTCCTTCAGCACTTTCAGCGTGGCCTCCTGCATGTACTGCTCTGACTCTGATTCGAAACCTCAACCAGCAAGAGTGCTGTGCCTTAGAAGCTTAAAGCCCAAACCCTGTAGCGGTACCTAGGTCGTAGGACCTATCCCCAGGGTAGAAAACACAGATACACCAAACACTAGATCCGACACAAGCCAACCCCGAACTCCTCAAACCTGAATCCGTCAACCCGCAAACGCCTAAGCCCTGAACCCCTTCACTCTTCACCCTATGAGCGTCTTTGTTTCTCCGGGCCCGAAACCTCGAATCTTGAAAATTCAACGCAGAGGTTATTTATAAGGAGTGGGGGTGTGTTTGTTTCGGGGGTACGTGTCATACTGAGGCCTTGATGATCAGAATAAGCTGTTGGGGAAAATTGTACAATTATGTTCAGAAGCCCGAAGAAAAAGCATGGCAGGTCTTCTGGCCCACTCGTTGTTGGAAGGGTCGCTCGGAATTCACCAGCGTTGCTCCCTGCCATGCCCGCTCCTGGGGCAAGTAGAGGAAGACAATATCCGCGGAAGGTAGATCCACCGTCGCTAGATCCTTTCACAGGGCCCAAGGAAACGGTTTTCGGGCTCGGGCGTCCAAGATACCTAGCCCTAGCCCTAAACTGTTCTAAACCCTAAACAGACTAAGACCCTAAACCACATGTCCACGTTTCCAAATTTGTTGCCTGGCCGGGTATGAGTTTCATGCGGATCTCCTGCCTGAACGCAAAACTCCTCAATTCATATAGCGGCCTGAATGATCAGAATGGGGTTTGGGGGCATAAGCCTAGTTGTACTTGAGGAACCCTAAGGAGCGACATTGGCAAGTCTTGCAGCTTCTATCTTAACCGCGAATCCCGATGAAGCACCTGCCATTGTTTCACACAGCCCGTTCTCCACAGCTTCGCAATATATACCATAGCATACCATAGTAAATCATAACATGCCACATCATACCACAATATGCCAGTCTACTATACGATACTCATAATTAATAAGATCTGGACCCTAAACCCTAAACCCTAAACCATAAGATCTGGGTACTGGTGCTGCAGACGAAGATCTCCCTGCACGAACTGGACGAGGCCTATCCACGAGGCATGAGCGGCTGGAGCTTTAGGGTTTAGGGTTTCGGGTTTAGGGTTTAGGGTTAAGGGTTTGGTGCTGGAGTTTAGATCAATATTGTTCTTATTGCTAACATCAGTTACTATTATCATTGTTGCGATTGTCATTATCATTTACTAGTACTACTATTGCCACTTTTACTATTATCAGAATCAGTATGACTGCTACAATGATTGTTCTTAGTATGCGGTATGCGTAGAAGACTTTGCGCGTCGGGTTCCTGGTTTCGTTGGTTCAAGGATGTGTAGGAAGGCCTGAAGCTTCTTTTGCAGTGGCCGGGTGCTTTTAACTACGAACTCAGTCTAGGTTCCCCAGTAGCCCCTTAATAGCAAGGGCACCCTTTTGCCTTTTCCTACTATTTTGGACTTTGATCAGGGAACCCAACAAAGAAGAAAAAGGCCCAAAGGGTACCATTATGGAACCTTGGATTTGATGCATTCTGACATTGGGTTCTTGTCTTGTCGCTCTTGATTCTGGGCATCCGTTGCCCGTTCCCTGAACCTGTTTCAACTTTGCGCGAGAACTTTCTGTTACCCTCCGGTGCTGGTGGTGATGGTGGTAGTGGTGGTGGTAATCGTGGTATTTGTGGTGATGGTGGTGGAGACCCATGATTTTGCTGAGAACTATCCTCAGGAGAGAAAGGACATGTACCAAAGACCCCATGGTTTTCACAACCTCTCCCATTCCATGGACCGGATCCCACTGCATGCAAGCATCGTTCTTTTGACGTTTGGCGGCAAAGAACGAGAATGCCGCTGAAAAAAACCCTAAACCCTAAACTCTGAGTTTTGCCCTGAATCGCCGGGCCTCCACTCAGGGTCTTACTGAAGGCCCCAAAAACCACGGTTTGGGTTAATATCGGAGGGTCTCGGCCCTGTGAATTTTGCGGTTTTAGGGTTTCATAGGCTTTACCCTAAACCCGAAACATGTTGGGTTGGGTTCAGTGTTTAGGGTTGAAGCCGGCGTTTCAAGGTCAGGTTCATCAGTTTTCTAGAGCAGCCTAGTGGACTGCACCTGAAGCCGAAAAACCTAATGACTATGCAGGGGCCTTAATAATTAGAATAGGGTTTTGGGGTTCCTTCAGAGGGTATCTTAAAGGGTTCTATAAGGGCTACTCTAAGGCTAGGATCTAAGGGCCTGAAGAATTAGAATAGGGATTGGGGTATATTATACTATAACTGTAAGAAGGAACCCCAAAAATTGTATAGGTAATTCTTGAGGCCCCTTTTTCACCTTTTACTGTTCCTTCCAAAAAGCCTACCTCTGTAAAGAATTAGAATAAGTAGACTGACGCATAGAATCATGTCAGTTACACACTCCTCAGCTGATCCTGCGCAGTGCGACTGTCACCACCCTGAGCAGGATCGCCCCAGGTCACAATGGATCCGTCGGCAAGAATGGCAGCAAACGCGGCATCAGAGGCTTGGATGTGCTGCACAGTCTTCAGCTTATCCTGCACAGCACGACTGTCGCCACCGTCGCTGGGAGCACCCCATGTAATGACAGATCCATCGAAAAGAAGGGCAGCAAAAGCGCCCTGATTGGCTTGGATCTGCTGCACAGTCTTCAGCTGATGCTGCACAGCACTACTGTCACCGCCAAAACGAGCATCACCCCAGGTCACGACGGAGCCATCATCAAGAATGGCAGCAAAAGCAACCCTGGAAGCTTGGATCTGCTGCACATTCTTCAGCTTTTCTTGCACAGCTCTGCTGTCACCACCATGGCCATCATCACCCCAGGTCACGACAGACCCATCCCCAAGAATGGCAGCAAAAGCAAATGAATTGGCTTGGATCTGCTTCACCTTCTGCAGCTGATCCTGCACAGCACTACTGTCACCGCCGAGGCTAGCCCCACCCCAGGACACGACCGATCCATTGCCAAGAATGGCGGCAAAAGCGAAGCTGGTAGCTTGAATCTCCTGTACGTTCGTCAACTGATGCTGTACAGCACTACTGTCACCACCCCACAGATCTCTGCCCCAAGTGACAACGGACCCGTCGACAAGAATCGCAGCAAACGCGCTGCCAGTGGTTTGGATGTGTTGCACATTCTTCAACTGATCCTGTACTGCACTACTGTCACCACCAGTGCCAGCATCACCCCAGGTCACGACACTGCCATCGACAGTAATGGCAGCACAAGCGGTGGCAGAGGCTTGGATCCGCTTCACGTTCTGCAGCTGATCCTGCACAGCACTGCAGTCACCACCCTTCACAGGGTTACCCCAAGTCGCGACCGATCCATCTAGACGAATGGCAGCAAAGGCGTGCTCGGAGGCTTTGAGCTGCTCCACATTCTTGAGCTGATCCTGCACAACACTACGATCACCACCATGGTGAACAGAGCCCCAGGTCACGACAGTTCCGTCACCAAGAATGGCCGCGAAAGCGGCGCTTGAGCCATGCACGTGCTGTACATTCTTCAGCTGATCATTCACAGAACTGCAGTCACTACCGAATACATTACAGCCCCAGCTTGCTACGGATCCATCGCCAAGAATGGCCGCAAAGGCAGAACCGCTTGCTGCTACTTGAGCTCGACTTATGTGTAAGGTCATTCTGTCACCAGTCTGCACCCTGGCTTTCTTGATCGGTGCATGCACATCCAGGACACTCCCGGATGAGTCCGCAGCAGCCCCCTTCCGACTCCAAGTGCTGTCTCTGCTCGACGTTTCCTTGGTTCCTGAGTAGCCTCTTTATAATAAGGGTACCCTTTTTCCTACTATTCGGTTTTAATAGGGAGCCCTGAAATAGAAAGGGCATAAAAGGGTACCACTCAGGGACCTAGTCTCAATGCTGCAACTGTTTCATCCAGGCCTGCCTTCAGAGTCGCCGTCTTGCCGCTGAGCAATCCGACTTCCACATCGATCGACATGGTCAAGGACCGGCAATGGCAAGAATATAGGGGACTTAAGAGCTAGAGTAGGGCTTTGGGGGTATATTACAGTATATGTACAAAATGGAAACCGATGCAAAATCTTGTTAATTATTCAGGCTTCCATATGTGTAGTTCTCTAAATTTAGGTCCCTTTGTAGGTCCCGAAACTAGTATGGCACCCTGGTAAAAAGGACCCCAAAAGGGATCCCAACTTCGAGAACTACCCGACTGGAACCCTTATAGTGCCCTCATAGAAACCCTTATAAATCCCTTTAAGGGACCTAAACCCTAAACCCTAAAACCCTTAAACCCTAAACCCTTTTTAAGGGACCCTAAACCCTGAACCCTAAACCCTTTTAAGGGACCCTAAACCCTGAACCCTAAACCCTTTTAAGGGACCCTAAACCCTGAACCCTAAACATTGCTTGTACTTGTGGTCTCCAGGGCTTTGGAGTCGAAGAGTGCGCTGCGCAGGTGTTTTGTGTACTTGGAGGTTCATGGGTAGTTATAACTGGGGTTATAATTAGGGTAACTATACTTATAAGCCATATTAGGGGACTTATAACCCCACTTATAACTACGCATGAACCTCCAAGTGGGAGCCTGAATAGCTAGAACAGGGTCGTGGGATAGATACACTGTAGGGTTTAGGGTTTAGGGGTTTAAGGGTTTAGGGGTTAGGGTTCAGGGGTTTGGGGGGGTTCAGGGTTCAGGGGTTTAGGGTTTAGGGTAGTATACTTGATATAAGTGTACAAGAATTTATTCAGTCCCAAAGGATAAGTGCGCTGGCTTGAAGGATTAGAGGCTGAGGCGTAGGAGATTATGGCTTACGGAGCCCGGGGGCGACTCTGTATACCCTTGAATCCAAAGAGCTACTGCCACGAACATTCAATGGTACCATAGGGTGTGCGGTAGAGTATCGTAAATCGTAAAGTAAAGTAAAGTACAGTATAGTAGAGTAAAGTACAGCATAGTATAGTATAGTATAGTACAGTACAGTAACGTATAGTATAGTCTAGTATAGTAAAGAATTGCAAACAAGGAGCCCTAAAAGAGTATTCTTGGCAATTATTCAGGAGAACTGGAGAGGGCTTGGGGTTTCGTGCTGATCTCTGGAGACTTCAGTGCTGCTGCATGTAGAACTTGGTCAAACTGAATGAACCAGGAATCACCCGATACCTGAGCACACTGTAAGCCGTTCGTTCTATTCCGTTCGTTCTATTCCATGCAATTACATATGACACTCGCGAGGTATTCTCATCATCTAAGCACTGAAACCGCGTGCACACTCAGAAACACTATATCAGTCATAATCTAGCTCACCATTAAAGGTCTCTTGACACGGATAACTTGTTAAAGCCTTCTCAAACTCTGCTTGGACGAACAAACACTATCGCATAAACCTACAAACCTCTCAAAATCGGATTGAACTGAACACCCTGAACCCCGAAACCTAAACTCTTACACATTCGTTGAAAGAGCCCTTCAAAGAAGCCCTAAACCCTCAACCCTAAACCCTAAACCCTAAACCCTAAACCGTAAACCCTAAACCGTAAACCCTAAACCCTCAACCTTGCACAGGCCTCGCAAGCTTTCCGGCACTTCATCCACGCTTTGCCTCACGAGCTGCGGGTCCATCTCCACACCCACCTAAGGCTCAGGGTTAGGTGCTAGGGTTTAAAGTTTAGGGTTCAGGGGCTGCGGCTGGTGTAGCTTGAGGGTTTGGCGGATTGGGGTTCATGGCTGCATGGGGTTTTAGGGTTTTGGGTTTAGGGTTTAAGGCTTGCGTGTTCGTAAGCAGGGGTTGTGAATTTTGGCACCAGTTGTACATGGAAGTCCGGAGGCGCGTAGCTGATAGGGTAGGTTGCAATCAGGGCTTCTATATACCGTGACACTGATCTCACTTAGAACTTACCTATGGGTAGTTCTCTAGATTAGGATCCCTGTTTAGATTCCCGAAAATAGTCCAAAATAGTACGGCACCATTGTAAAACGGACGCTGTAAGGGACGCTAAGTTCGAGAACTGCCAATATGAGCTTACCTAGCAAGCGCGCCGGTCCCCCGATTTCTGTTTTTGCTGCGTGTGGAAAGGCCCTCTTCTACCCAATACAGGGCTTAATAAATGGAGTAGGTTTCGGATTTAGGGTTTAGGGGTTTGAGGTGGGCTCTAGCAATATTGGTCATAAAACTTTTATACACCCCTGAAAAGGAACCCCACAGCCTTCAGGTTCCCCAGGGCATCCTCGTGTTTAAGGTTTGGGTTGTGAGGGTTTCGGGCTTAGGGTTTAGAGTTTGGGATTTAGGGATTAGGGCTCAGGGCTTAGAGCTGTTCTGTAAGAAGGTAAGATATTGGGGAATTACCACTAGAATCTCAAAAGGGCCCAGTTTTGCCGCAAGGCAAGGAACTTGCGGGGCCTATTTCGGCTGCAAGCTCGCAGAGGGGGAAGTGTGCAATTCCCCCACATAACAAGAAATCAAATCCACAAAGCCGTAGTCCTTTAGGTCAGCCCCCTAAACAGATCACTAAACCGTAAACCCTCATAAACCAACCCGAAACCTGCAAACCCCAAAACCCCAGCGAAGGCATGAAGGCCAGGCTGTAGCGCTTCAGGCGACCCCACGGATGCCGAGTCGTCGCGCCACCTTGATCCAGGGGCGGGGCCTTGTTTGGGGTTTCGGGTTTAGGCCTCAGGAATTAAATAGGGACCCTGAACCCTAAGCCCTCAAGGGCTAGGGTTTAGGGACCCTGAACCCGAGGTTCTAAGGGGCTTCGGGTTTATGGGTGTGTAGAGTCGAAGCTGTGTTCGTCGGCGCGTGGTATTTGATTAAGACAGGTGAAGGGATACGGTTAGGGTTTTGGGGTTTAGGGTTTAGGGTTTAGGGTTTAGGGTTTAGGGGATCGTGAACATCCGGAAGTCATCCAGAGCTCTCGATGCCCGGACCCTTTCACACAAAAAACATAAGACTCAACAACTACCTACGACTCCAAGTAGACAAAAGTCCGTAGCTACTATGGGTTCGAAAATGTCTGCATTGGGCTTTTGTTAGTGCGGAGGATTCCAAGAACCCTACCTGTAGTCTCCATTGTAGTTCCTTTATTCTGGATTAATAAACCAATCTTGTATTCAGGATTCGATAAGATAGCCTCAAAAAGCAACTTCAATGGAGGCTATAAAGTTAGACCCCAAAGCACTGCATCTGCACGGCTCAGGGCTAGATTAGGTGGTTTTGGCCATGCCCCTGCCATAAAGTGGTCAGATGGTTCAGTTCTTGTCTAAGCCAGTGCTTTCTATCCTCAACTACCCTAGACCCTAAACCCTAAACCCTCAACCCGAAAGCTACAAAAATTGGAGCCCCAGAGGATCCCCGTAGTTACAGCACTTCGGCACATCGAGGCGATCCCTGAGTTGCTCGACTTTGGGGCAGTTAGGGTTTTGCTTTTACGTGTTTAGGGTTGGGGGGGTTTAGGGTTTATCCCAAGTAGTCATCTGATAAGGAAAAATGGGAGATGCCACTAAACGGGTTTAGGGCTCTGCAACGAGCCCGACATCATATCCTTACTGTCACAAGGAAGCGATGACAAACTGCGGTTTTATGAATGCTACGGGTATAGGTTTCAATTCGCACTTTTCGGAATGCTCCTTAACCCAATGGGTCTTGATACCCCACACGGAGGATCCTTGTCGATGAGGTAAGGGTTCAGGTTCAGGGTTTAGGGTTTAGGTTTTAGGGCTCAGTTCAGATACTTCTGGGATAGGATCTCGCTATGAGACCGCACGTTTGACGCAATCGCTCCTCCCGTAGACTGTAGACCCTGCTCTTTGCGGCCATATGATACAATGTACAATACAATATAATACGATATAATGCAATACAACTCAATATAATACAATACAATATAATACAACATAACATAACATAACGTAACATAACATAATATAATATAGTATAATACAATACCAGGTGGCTGCAATCACCACCCGGCCATCCCCGCTCCCCAGGTCTACGAACACGGGCGCCGGTGAAACGAAGCCGAACTCCTGCGTGCTGACTTTGGCAGAAATGTGCTATTGGGGCTTTGGGGAATAAGTTTAGGGTTTAGGGTTTTGGCAGAAATGTGCTATAGAGGGTTTGGGGAAGAATAACGGGACAGTTTGTAAACCCTAAACCCTAAACCGTTTGTCAAGTGAGGGCTCGTTTCCGCACTGATTTCGTCCAGAAAGAAGGCCTTGGGGTTCGGGGTGACAGATTTTTAGTTTAGGGTTTAGGGTTTATTTAGTCCGTAGACCCAAAGCTCTTGGCCCTGAAGCCTTTCCAGCCCAGGAGCTTGTGGTTCGTAAGGGTTTAGGATTTAGGCCTGAGGGTTTAGGGTTTAGGGTTTAGGGTTTAGAGTTTAGGGTTTAGGGTTTAGGGCTTAGAACTCAAAAGACGCTTCATCTTCAACCCTCAGGTCCCGCGCAAACCCTCAATCCAAAGATGAACCAACCCCCCCCCCCAAAGCAAGCAAACTCTAAAAATCCTACAGACGCTTCTTGATCCCTGCTTGGGGATTCTGAGAAGATTGCGCCACGGGGCTCCTCTGGAAAGGTTTGAGAAACCGACTATGATCCGACCCAGACTTACTTGGTTTGGAGGCCGGGCGGGGGATTTCGGGGTTTGGGGTCTGGGGTTTAAGTTGGTATATACGATTTAACATTGCTTTCAGGTTTCCATGTGCATATCCCCTTTTGGCACAGGGTCCAGCACTGCAGAGTTTGCTGCTTAGGAGTGCGCAGTTGGATCCATGAAAGGCTCAAGTGGCTGAACTCAACATTACAACAGCCCTATAAACCTTTAACTCCGATCCAACCAAACACACAGCAAATAAGCACAGACCCTTACCTAAACCCTAAACCCTAGGCCCTAAAACCCTAACGTACATGCTGACACAGGTAAACCACACATCCCGCCCCAGCCTGGACAAGCCTCAGCAGCTCAGCGATCAGCTCCTACGGCTGCCGCACTACCAAATCCTTACTTTGCATCGTTAGGTTTTCTTTTTGATGGTTAGGTTTAGGGCATAGGGCTTATCCCGTTTGCTTCTCGTCTGCCATGGTGCATGGTGCATGTAGATTTGAACTGCTTCATGTTCACGTGACTGAGTAACTATCACCTGATACCGGAGGGCATAGAGCAGTTGAGCTTTGGGACAAGTGCCACCACTCCATTCGCAACAAAGGCACTTGGCCAAATCGGTGTTGGCCTGTGTGGCAACCCTTCCACAAACCCCTGTTTTACTGAATCCCTCTCCCAAAGTTAGGATTCAGTGGGATTCATGGTGACCCTATCACTCGGGCCTTTAAAGAAAGGAAGTTCATTCATCAGGGGTCTACATGAATAACCTGCAGTGATGAAGAAGAAGCACAGCTCTTCCTGCTCCGAAAGAGTTCGCCGCTTAAGTGCCTGGTAAGGGCACTGCTGGGGCCCTGATCAAGAATCAAACTACAGTGTTACAGCTTGGAATATACATATATATATATAAATACACATATTTATAAATAAACAAGTAAACAATAGATTAATATACATATATATAGACATATATATATATGTATGTATGTATGTATAGATAGATAGATAGATAGATAGATAGATATACACATACATGTACATTATGTATATACAGCCATACATGCATATCATCAAAGCGGCACTTAAAGCAGGGCCTACTAGGAAACCTGAAACAATAAACACACATTTGAATAATTCAATTCAAGCCCCTACATGGTTTAGGGTCTGCAACTCTGAAGCAGGAGGTTCAGGTGGTGATGTCGTGAGAGCGACGGCGCGAAATGCCCTACAAAGCCTAACCCCTAAGCCCAAAAGGCCTTACAAAGATCCTACACACCCTAAAAACTCCCAAAAGGCGCGGAAAAAACCCTCTAGCGCCGAGACCCAAAACCGTAAACCCTAGAGACGACCCCTCAAAGCCCGTTCCTCAGTGGCTGGGCGAAGTCCGGCTAGGCGGCCGCCCAGGGAGCCGGCGCGACTTGTGTGCCACCTGGGCTCTTTGTTCAAAAGCTCCGGTGGTCTGGGTTTACCCTAAACCCTAAACCTATTTTGGGGGTTGCTACCAGGGTAGGAAAGGGTTCCATAAGGGCTCCATGAAGGTTCTATGGTACGGACATTGAAGGTTCAGGGTTTAGTGTTGAGTCTAGAGTTGAGGGTTTAAGGTTTGCCATCTAGGGCTCGGTTCGTGCAGGGTTCAGGGTTCGGGGCCCCAGGACACAAAAGCAGGATTACGAGGCAAAGGAGGCAACGATTTCTGAAGTTTGGCTCGGCAACTGTCTCTCTGGCAAGAACGGAAGAAGGCCTTTGGCATAATCTTCGGCATTCTGCTTCATCATTCCGGGATCATACAGGTATCCTACCAGCAGCCCACACGATCTCCGGAGACCCTGAACGGACTCATCTCCCCACCAGTGTAGTGAAGAAAGCATAGCACCCTGCTTAAAGTGGAAGCTGGCTTCCTCATCCGGGCACTGGCCATCTTTCCTGCTTGCCAAAAAACTTTCACACAAGGTGCACAAGGGCTTCTTCATCGAAACTGGCAACATTCCGAGACCCCGTGCCACTTCTTGAATTCTGGTTAAGCTCCCATCCTCTACAGAGCTTCGTGGAGCCACCACTTGCAAAGGGCTCCCGTCCTCCAGGAGTACCACCAGAGAGTCCTCGCCAGCAGATCGGAGCCTTCTCACCCTGCGACTGGCCTCTGAGTTGATGCTCATCCTCATCTGGGAAAAGCCGTCGTCTACCGCACAGAAGAAGTGCACCAAGTCGCCATCGGAATCAACGAAGGACAGGTTCAAGTCCAGCTCCTCCGCTGACTCTGCGGCCGTCAACACTTTCGACATCAAGGATGCCAAAGACGGATCAAAGCCCAAGGTCAAGAGAAGCTCATGCCCATGCACTTCCAGAAGCCAGGGGACGAAACCCTTCAATGGTGCCAGAACGACGCACTTCGGACGTGGGTGCTGCCTTTGGATGCTGTGCAACACTTCACCCATCCTGGAAAGCTTGTAGGAGACACCATAACTGCTCACATGGCTAGTTCTCTAAATTAGGGTCCCCGTTTAGGTCCGCAGTACAGTACGGCACTCCTATGATAAAATGGACCCTAAGACGGACCCGAATTTAGAGGACTGCTCCCATGGCCCTGGGCCTTTTGAGTTGCCTAAGGAAGCACAGCCCCCACTCGCTGCCCAGTGACAGTGTTTCCCTGATTCTGTTCCCGTCAGATCTGCTCAAGTCGCCTGGGTTCTTGTGGAGGAACGAAATACCATTTACTATAAACAACTATAGGGTAACTTAAGTGAAACTCCTGAACAACTATAGATCTCTATTTTGGGAACTTCAACAAAAAACCCTAAACTCTAGACCCCTAAACCCTAGACCCCTCAACCCTAAACCTTTGCACAGGAAAACTCCTCAACAAGAGCCCAGGGGCTGTCATGAGCCAGGGTAAACTGGAAGAAGCACATGTACTCGCGCGCCTGGGGAGTCTCCTCCGAAGCTGGCCTAGGGTTCAGGGGTTTTGGGCTTATAGGGCTTAGGGTTTAGGGTTTAGGGCCTAGGGTTCAGGGTTTTTTTGGGCTTATAGGGCTTAGGGCTTAGGTTTTCAGCTTCAGGGTTTAGGGCCTCGGGTTCAGGGGTTTTGGGCCTATAGGGCTTAGGGGTCCAGGTTTTAGGGTTAGGGTTTAGGAGGTAGGGTTTAGGGCCTAGGGTTCAGGGGCTTTCGGCTTATAGGGCTTGGGGTTGAGGATTTAGGGTTTAGGGCCTAGGGTTTAGGGTTTAGGGCTTATGGCTTAGGGTTTAAGCTTTAGGGTTTCGGGCGTAGGGTGTAGTAAAGGGTTTAGGGCTTAGGGCTTAGGGCTTTGGGTTTAATCTTTAGGGTTTAGGGTTTAGGGCTTTGGGTTTAAGCTTTAGGGTTTAGGGCGTAGGATTTAGGGTTTAGGGCTTAGGGTTTAAGCTTTAGGGTTGAGGGCGTAGGGTTTCGGGTTTAGCGCTTAGGGTTTAGGGCTAGTAGGAAGCTGGGCTCAAAGGCGGACGGAAAGGTTTCTCAAACGAAGTCATAGAGCTTAGACCCGGACCCGATACCTCAAACTCCAAGCCCGGAATCTGAAAGTGCCAGCAGCATGGAGTTCGATGCCATGCAGAAGAGTGTGTCAGAAATGAAAAAACCCAGACCATGAAGCACTGCCACATGTTTGATGCAGAACACAGTAAGCAAACTTGTGAGATGAAGCCATACATAGAAGCACACACCTTGTTTGATCAAGAGCCAACCCAAAACATCGGGCAAGCAGCCACACAGAAGCAAACACGAACCCGAAGAGAAAGGAGGAAACAAGGGCAGGGTTTCCAATGGTATGCATGTAACAGGTCACAGCAATTCTTTGACTTCCTGACCTGTTGCACATTTTCTGGCCATTGTGCAAAGTATCGAGAGCTGACAACGACTAGTAAGGCTTGGGAAGTACATTGCCTTGAATGTGCGTAGTTTTCAAACATGGGCCCCTTTTAGTATATTGGGGACCTGAAAGGCGACCCTGATTTAGAGAACTACCCATGTAGTGGCCGAGTTGGAAGGACCCAGGGGCACAAGTGGTTGAGCTAAGCTACGAAAGCTCCGCCAAGCAGGCGGGATACTGCGAGGTGAGCGCAGCCCTGGTTGTAGCCAGGATTTCACCTCAGGGAAACACTGAGACTAAGTAGCCCCCCCCCCAGTCCCAAGACCTTGAACCCCAAACGCGTGTAGGATTTTTCACCACTTGATGGGTCAGCTTTGCCCATGCTTAAGGCTTAAGGTGCAATTCCATGTATAGGAGGAGGTTTAACGTTTACGACTACATTGACCTGGAACCAAGAACTCGCCGAAATCCGAAATCCTGAACCCTTAACCCAGAAACCCCAAATCCCACGCCCACATTTGGCCCCCTCAACCCCAAACCCTGAACCCTAAACCCCACATTTGGCCTCCTCTGACGAGGGCAAAGCCGCGGTGGTGTTTGGGCCACGGCTGCGGACCAAGCCAATGGCTCAGGCCAGGGCCTGGTGAGTTTAGGGTTTAGGGCTTTAGGGGTTTAGGGTTTAGGGTTTAGGTGCGGAGGGGATGGTATTTATGGTTTAAGTGTTTAGAGCTATATCATTATTGTTGTTTCCTCAATAAATAAGACAATTAGTAACAATTGTTATTGACATCATCATGATTAACAATATTATTCTGGGGGGCTTTAGGGTTTAGGGTGCAGAGTTTGCGGGGCTTGGCATGGGGCTTTTTGAAGCTGTCGGACTTCGGGTAGTGGGCAGTAGCTTTCAGTGTTTTTGTTGTGGTTTGGCGTGGGTTCCGCAGATTTCTTAAGAACTTTTGCAAATTTCGCTATGAGCTCTAGGCGGTTTATGAGTTCATAAACCTTAAAACCCAGGACCCGAAAGCCCGAAACCCTAAACAACAGCCGAGATTCTACAATAAAACTCGCCAAGGTTTATAGGGTACCCTAGACCGCTTGTATGAGTTTCCTAGCGGTTTAGGCACACGGTTTAGCCATAGGGTTTTCCAGGGGTAGGTGAGGGTTTATCAAGGCATGCTGGACCTGAAGCCTGATTGGGGCTTAGGGTTTTGGGGTTTAAGGGTTTAGGGCTTCTTTTTTTTCTGACGGCCTTTTTTTTCCGTCTTGCAAAGAAATCGGAGAGCCCAAAGGTTTTAAGGCTTTAGGGTTTATGGCTCCAGGGTTTTAGGGTTTTAGGGAATTCACCTCGAATCGCTGCGCCTGGTTCTGGTAACCCTTTCAGAGGAACCCCTTGAAGGAACCGGAACCTTTTTTTAATTCTACAGGAGCCCTTCTAAAGGAGCCCCTTCAAAAGAACCCCCTTGTCAAAGGAGCCCTTTAAAGGAACAACACTGTTCTAAAGCCTAAAACCCTAAACCCTAGACCCTAAACCCTAAACCCTAAAACCTGATACCCCAAAACCCTAAACCCTAGACCCTAAACCCTAATTCCTAAAACCTGCTACCCCAAAACCCTAAACCCTAAAGCCTAAACCCTAAAACCTGATACCCCAAAACTCTAAACCCTAAACCCTAGACCCTAAAACCTGATACCCCAAAACCCTAAAAACCCTGATACCCCTAAACCCTGAAACCCTAAACCCTGATACCCCAAAACCCCAAAACCCTAAACCCTAGACCCTCTCAAGGCGCCTGGTTCGAGACCCAGGTCTTTCAGAGCTGCCAGGGGCTCAGACCCCAGGCGAAGCAGCTGAGGCTCAGGCCGCTTCCTCCCCCGAAACGGCTGGAGTTTAATAGGGTTCAGGGTTTAGGGTTTTAGGGTTTAGGGTTTTAGGGTTTAGGGTTTAGGGTTTAGGGATTAGGGTTTTAGGGTTTAGGGCTTAGGGCTCAGGGGTTGAGGGCCGGGGTAGAGGGCTCGGGGCTTATAGGGTTCGGGGCTTCGGGTTTTGGAATTCAGGCTCGGGGTTTAGGGCTGAGAGGTTGTCGGCTTTAAGGGGTTTAGGGCTTTGGGGCTAAGAGGGTTTAGGCTTTACGGGTTTAGGGGTTTCGGGCTTTAGGGCTTTAAGAAGGCCTCGGGCTCCCGACTTCTTAAAGCGGAAGACGCGGTCCGGGTTTAGGGTTGAGATTCCGGGTGCATAGGGCAAGTTTAGGGCTTGGGGTTTAGGGGGTTTAGAGGTTTAGGGGTTTAGGCGTTTAGGGGTTTAGGGTTTAGAGTTTAGGGTATATTGCATAGTGGGCATAATGTACATCTCAGGCTTGTGCCTTGAACTTCCCCCGACATTGCCGAGTGCTGACAGCATCCTGATCTGCATCTCCAGTGCTGCTGCAAACGATGTGTCCCTCTGCACAGTGTGCTGTATGCGCGCCTGAAATGCCCGTCGGCGCGTATATGTGAGTGCATATCTACACATGGGCGCCGATCATCGTATACGTGTGCAAAGATGCTCTATGGTCACAGACATGTATAAGCCGCAAGCCTATCTATCTGGAAGCACCCAGGCCATTGAAACTCACGAATGTGTATGGCGAAGATCGGGTCCCGCATTCAGTCCTTGCGCACGCTGAGTGGAATGAGCATCGCGGCCCCGCGACTTGCAGCGCAGTCGCCTCAGGGTGTTTTTGAATCTTGATGGTATTTAGCCGGGCTTACTAGCTGAAGCACAGTCGGAATTAGCCATTCAACCCTGCAAGTTCGGAACGGCACGAACGGCGCAGGGTAGGCTTCAGCTTAGAGGAAGGTCGCCTAGGACTGTAGCAGTAGAGCCTGCGAACATGCGGTGCAGCTTCCAGAGCCGAGAGTCGTCTGAGTACAGGCTTGCACGCAGAGAGCGCAAGAGAAGTCAGAATTTGCATGCCTCACTCCGATCGCAACGTTTACACCAGAGAAACCCTAGAGAACCATTCTAAGGACCCGCCCAAGGAAGCTTCCTAAACTATAAGAATCTATTCGAACACTTCGACACCTGCTCAAAGGGCTTTTTCAAGCCCGTTTTGACTCAAGCTGCTGACATCCTAACCCCCTGCTTGAAGGATCGTTCTTAGGCTTTAGGGTAACTCGGCTTGCAAATAAGGCAACTTACACAAACCCCACTTGAGGTACTTATCCCTAAACCCACAACCCTGAACCCTAAACCCAAAAGTTAAGGGACTTCGACGCTTGCCTGCAACGTCCCATGATCCTCCGAGTGAATGTATGCTTCGAAGCGAACTCGAAGATGCTACCAAGATGCAGCAAGCAAAGCCATGGAGACAAAAAACAAAACAGCATGCTGGTTTGCTTAGCAGAAATAATGCAGTAAGACTACTAACAAGAAAAAGGAAAACAAAGATAACCAAAATGAGAATAACTGATATGAGTTGTGACGATGATGATTTGATGATGATGATGATGATGGTGATGGTGAGGATGATGATGATGACTTGATGATGATGATGATGATTTCAGGATGACGACGATGATGATGACTTGATGATGATGATGATGATTATGATGATGATGATGATTATGATGATGATGATGACGACGACCATGATGATGATGATGATTGCAGGTGGAAAAAAAGACCGACCAGCGAAAGCCCAAAGCAGCTAATATACACGCCGAATCAAGCACAGCCCGGGACTGAAACACCGAACACGAGGATCTCCAACATCGCGCATTTGTAACTACACGTCAAAGTTCTGTTCTTTGCACAGAAGCAAAACCCTCTAAGAGTCTATGCATGCTTCATTATATCCTGCATG